ACACTGTATAGGAAACCAAACAGCTGTTCCCTAAATCCACTGAAGTGCTCTCAGAACAGGTTGCCACAGTTAATGAACATTTTCCAGCATTCAGGAGTGGAGGTTTTTAAAAGATGGAAATGATACATTCTCTTTCCTTCCTTTTTATAGAAAATTCTCCACTTCAAATGTTAAATTGCTCATTTTTTCGGTGAAAATGTCAGTGGAAAGCTTCGCATGCACAGAGAACACAAGGGAATGAGAGTTGGCCAAGCCTCCAAACTGTTAATTCTGCAGTTCCTGGAGGAACTGGATGAAACCCACAAACAGTTAAGGAAACTGGGAGAGCAACTGGACATCAGAAGGCAAGTTGAATTCAGGGAAGACTCTGTGCAGTCCCTCTACAACAGGCAGGGTCAGCACAGCCCGTCAGCAGCAGCAGTGGGATGTCACAGCTTTTCTAGGAGGACAAAAATCCTCCAAATACTCAGAGATGAAAAACACACCAGTTAAACAAGCTAGGGTTTATTTATACATCTATAGAGCAAAGCAGCCTGGAACAAAGCCTGCTGCTTTTGTCTGGTAATTAAGAAAAGCAGTTTGTGTGACTCCAGTGGATTATCAGGGAATGTAAGTCCGGCCCTTTCAAATGTCAGCATTGTTCTACCACCCCCTGCATTTTAACAAAGTCACAGTGTAAAAAGGACTAATTAGTATGTTATGAAAAGGCAGACATCTAAAGATGATATTTGATGCATTTCTGCACCAGAACCTGTAATTAATTACTTTGTGCTGGAGTTCAGATAGGTGTATTGAAAAAAACCCAAAAGATTAACCTGCCTGCTTGCAAATTTTTTTAGGGTCACTACTAACATTGTTTTTGGTATTTTGACTGACATTTCTCTTTCTCTTAAGTGCATTGTAATTTTGTTCTAAGGAAAAAGGAACTATATGGAATGTTTTATTTAAAATTTTCAAAGTATTTTCTAATTCTTTCCCCTTCTCAACACATCTCATGTTCTCCAAGCCTTTTCATAACACAGAAATGAAAACCAGCAAAGATAGAAGAGCATTCATAATGCAACATTTAGGTAATATGTTTAATTAATGTGAACAAATTCATCATTTTATTCTGGCTATCAAGATGTTTTAAGCAACACAGGGTTTTTACCAAGCATGAAATTGGTGCCATGGCCTACAGAGCTCTGTTAGAAACTTACTTTGGATGCTTTTTTGCACCACCAGTTCCCCTACATGTTTATTTGCATGCATGTGTGCTCATTTATACATACACTTATTAGAACGATGAAGTTGTAATTGGTATCACAAGAGCATTTTCCTACTGTTCAAGTTAATTATTTGGACAGAAATGACAAATAGTGTTTTAAAAAGGAAAATGGCATTGTCAGAGTATCTAATATGAAGAAAGTATAGTTAAATTGAACAATTTCCTATCTCATCCTGTCCAAATAACCTGTCCCAGTCTTCTAAAATATTCATAAAAGAATAATTATTACCATTTATGGTCAAAATAAAATGCTATTAATGGCACATGATTTTACAGCAGTTCCTAATATTTTCCTTTAGCAATTGCCCATTTATTTGACTTTCACTTGGCACCAGCTTATTATTGCCCTCAGTGTTACCAAAAGGGCACATTTACAGAGAAAAAAATATGTCATTAGAATCAAGATTAATCACAAAAACATTGATTTTTAGAATAAACAGAGAAAAACATTTTTGGTGAAGAATGTGCCTAAACAGCCTGAGATCTTGTTTATCCAAATCAACACTGGATAAGGAACCACATTTACTAAACAGGTTTCACAGGGAGCTCAAGACAATCCTGCCTGGACTCTGTCCACAGCTGGATTCCACAGCCACCAGCAGGGGAGAATCTTTGCAGAGATTGTCTATCAGTGGCAAAATTATGTTTAACTCACAGCAAGACATACAGATGTCATACAGTGCACTGACTGGAGCAGACATCAAAGAAAGACAACATCCCTCTTCCCTTTGCCTTGTGATTTTGTTCTTTCAATTTTTAACACTAATGGAAGCCCAGTTCCAACATTCCTTGGAAGCAGCACCAGTCACCCACCAAGGTTTTGAGGAGGTGCCGGGACCCAAACACTCGGATGAATTGTAATTGAAATTATAGGACCAAATATAAAGGAAAGAGACGTAAACACACAGTGATATTCTCTTTGCTTTAAGCTTTTTTCTTTGAATTAAAACTAAATATCCTCCCCCTTCTAAGAAAAAGTCCTGCCTGAAACTTGAAAACCACTTATTGCTGCTGGGCCTGTCTGTACCTCAGTCCTCAAGCCTTGAAACTTTCTGAAGATGTCTTAGCCTCATACACAGAAAAAGCATTAAGTTGATAGACACTTGATCTAACTAAACTTTTCAATTATTTCCTCTAAGTGTGGTTATAGTGCAAATAGGTTTCTTGCTGTTAAAAGAACAGGTTATAAGCTGTTATAAACCTCATGTGTTTCTTCACAATAGTCTAATTGTAGCATTTGTGCATTAATTCCCAGAAAAATAGTTTGTAGCTACATATGACTACATTAAAAAAAAAATCTTCTTTTGGACACATTATTACAAACAAAGACATTAATAATTCAGGATGACCCTTAGGTTCTGCTTTAAAACCAGAGAGCATCCTCAGGCTCTTCACCAGCGTACGGTTTGTGATCCCCAGCTTACACAGGTGCAAGAAGGATGCAGGGACTGTCATGGAATCCCACCCTCATCCTATGTTCTCAGAAACAATATATGTCTGTACTTGGGTCAAAATACACAGATGATTCCTCCTGTACAGGATAAGCTCAGAAGAGAGAACCTTTCCTGTTTAAACAGACAAGCCACAGAGCAACACTATCATTCTTTCTCTTACTTCTCTCATAGAATGAAGAGTCAGACAAGAGTGAATTTTCTTCAGGGTAATCTCCACAGCAAGACTTTGCAAATATATATTTCTAAGAGTGATATACACTCCTCACTCATGTGAGTGATTTCAACAAGGCTCAATAACTTCCTCGTCATTGCCTCACAAACTCAGTAGGACATAGCAAGTAACAAACCCCATCACTTTTCAATATCATGCAGGTTCACTCCAGCATCCCTTCCTAATTCTTAATGCACCCTGGCCTTGAGCACAGCTATTTGCTATTACAGGTGAGGCTGCACAAGCATATGGTGAGTGGAGGCCCAGTGAGCTGGAACATCCTGTTTCAGCTGATATTCTGCAGAACTGTTTGGCTATAGGAGCTCAGCAATATATTTTGATAGGCTTGGCTATGCAGCTATAGATCTAGTTTGCTTCCCACTCGGATATTGTTCATGCTTCAGTTATCATGCACAGAATTAGCGATAAGCAATATTAAGCAGAGCACTCTGTATCACAGTTCTGCCCAAAAGGGCTGATAACAGATCCCAGTCTCTTTATGTGTTTTGCCTTTACAGGAAGCTGAGTGACTGCTTCCCTGGGAAGCAGAAGCTGATAAGTATTCTGAGCTTTACGTTAATGCAATGTCTGTCACATCTCTCTTGCACCTTCACCAGGAGCTTTCAAAGTCTTGGTGGAAATACTAAAATGGAAGACCTTTCTGCTAGTGCTTTTTCAACAAGGATGCTGTAATGCAGAAATAACTAGGAAGGGTATTTTAACACCTTGCTATGCATAAAAAATGTATGATCTTCAAAACACAACTGCTGACAGCAATTAGCATGTATTTATAATACATCTATGTGTAACTGCATTCTTACCTGGTTATTGCAGGATACAGAAATAACCATTCAGCTTGATGTGCTACAAGCCCACAGATTTCTTAATTTAATGCATGTTCAGTCCCATACTGTTTGAGGATGTTATTTGCAGGCTTGGAGTTCTTTTCCTTTCTAATTTAAGTTTTGTGGCCTGATATTTTTGTTAAAATATCTAGAGGTTATACTTGTCCCCTCACTGGCCACCCTATGGTGCTGGTGCCACCTTATAACCATCGCTACACAAGCCCTTTGCCTGTAAACAGGTTGTCCTTTTCTTCCTTCCACATGATTCTAGATCACATTAATAAAACACTGAATCAACACAGTACAGGCAGAGAGTTGCAACAAGACAGGGATCCCTTACCCCTTGGCCAGGAAAAGTACACAAAATGATTCCAAAATTCCCCAAGAGCCACATCAGATGACAAAGGTTTTCTTGTTCTTCTACCTTGCATCTTTGACACTCTTGTATATTTTGCCTTGAGGCCCAATATATCAAAGCTTCATATATTATTTCGCTGTCATTATTTAGTATTTTAATCTTCAGTTCCGGATTTATTGGGGCTAAAACTTTTTAGTTCAAAGGATTTGCTTTCAGCTCTAAAATTATCGGGCATTTCAGAGGGGAAAAATCAAATGCATGTTCAGATAAGAGACTGAAGACAAGGAACCAAAGATAAGGAACCACAGGAGAACACCACTATTTGTATCATCTGGCATAGACATATTTTATAACATTGAGGAGGGTATCTGATTAAGATTGATAAGGTGAAAGAATCTTTATGTTACTTCAGCCCACAGCATGACCTGATAACCATTTCTCCCAGTGCCAAAGGAGCCCCTTTACCAAACCCTTACCCTTGTCAAACAATAACATCAAATGGAAGCATCTCCAGTGGCTGCTTTGCACTGGAGCACATCTGCCCTGCTGCAAATGAACACACTCACTTCTGGGTGCACCTCTATCTATCCAGCAGAATGAAAACTGTTGAATTCATTGGGGATGTAGACCAAGAGCCTCAGCAGATGCAAGTATGCTGACATACCATAAACAAAGATCTAGTTCCTGCTAAGAAATGAAAACTATCTAAATCATTCCAATGTATGCTCTAACTGTCATAAAAATGTCCGGAGCTATCTGACTGATAAACTATGTTAATTAAGTTTGATTGTTCTATTTAATCTTAACAATTGCCTGGAAATCTTGGAGGATATTTTGTTTGGCATCAAGAGAACAGCAGACTCACGTGAATGCTGGGTACCTCTGTGGCTGCTGGTCCTGTCTCAGAAGGCTCAGAATCCATATCAGCACCACTGAACAATTTTGAATTCCTGTACAAGGAAAAATGGACAAAACATTCTTGTGTTGGAGTTATGTACTTCAACTTTATTTTTCTCTATAGTCTCCTTAACATTTTAGATAAGACAGTGCCCTAGGTGGGCTATTAGAAAATATGCTTAGTAAAAAAGCAGTATTATTAAATGAGCCACCACTCAAATCTACCACGATGGTTTAACAAAAAAAAACAACCCAAAAAACCAACCTCCCTCTCACTCCAATCCCCTCCAACAAAAAAAAAAAAGTGTTGGAAGGGTCAATATTATTTATATAATATTTTCTTTACGTTTTGGCAACCTTGTAAGCAAGTATCCTCTAATCTACATCTAGATTAACCATGGTCCCTGAATGAGAGACCTGCAGGGTCACTTATCTGAAACCCATGCAGGAGTAACGAGAAACTCAAGAGCACCAAGCTCTGGGTGTGTGCAGTCTATTGCCTTGGGGGGTTCCTTAAAAAGATTCTAATGGGATCCAACAAGGGCAGCTTTGATTACCCCATGTTGTTTGAAAGATGCATCAACCAAACCATGGAGACCATGAATCTAAAAGGCAGCTGACAAATCTAGAAGAGAAGTATTATTTGCTAACATTCAAAAGGAAGATTTATATGTCAGATGACTGACTATATTTCAGAAGCTGTCATTTCTAGGAACATCAGTTGGAGATACTACTATTTATTACTATCCATACAGAGCCCCACAGATATTACCATGTATGTGTAGACATTACAGTCAGCAGCAAAAAAAGACAGAAAGAAGGGAAGTAGAAGAGAGGGAGAGTAGCTTCATATATATATAAACCAGATTTTTCTGAAGTGTTAATCTCAGTGGTTACTTCACCATCTCAGCTTACAAGTTAATTTTGCTTGTTAGTTTCTATGTATTAGTCTTGAGAATTTTTTTTATCAGTCATGCTATCCTGAAGCAATTACTAACTTCAATGATAGTGAACTTGTTACAAATAAATTCTAGTGTTGTTCTTGAGGGCCTGAGAAAGCTTTTTTTTTCTCAGAGAAACAATCGCATACATTATTCAACATGTCATAGCAGATATATTACATTATTTTGTTACCACATTGCTTAATGGTATTCAAATAGAATGTTATAAACACACCATAAATATCAATCTTAAAAAGACATTAAAAATTTAAAGATACTAAATTACCCCACGTAGGTGAACTAAAGCAATTATAAATTAATAACCATGAAGAAAGTTGAAATTCAGAAGTTCTGAGCAGGTAAGTTAAATGTTTGAAAATTTCTATAAAACACTGGGAGAACAGATAAAGTCTCTAAAGTCACAATTTTATCTCATCTTTGCTGATTATTAGTACATGGTATAGTACATATCCAGAAGAGTACAGAGAGAATTACTTTTCTGCAGCTGTGGCTTTGTTTCACTAATCATAGAATCACAGAATGGTTGTCTTGGAAGGAACCTTAAAGATCATCCAGTTCCACCCCTCTGCCATGGGCAGGGACACCTTCCACTAGACCAGGTTGCTGCAGGCCCCATCCAACCTGGCCTTGAACATTTTCAGGGATGGGGCATCCACAGCTTCTTTGGGCAACCTATTCTAGTGCCTCACCACCCTCACAGTAAAGAATTTCTCCCTAATATTTCATCTAAACATTCCTCTTTCAGTTTGAGGTCATTCCCCCTTGTCCTATCATACAGCTCTTCTGTAAGCTGCCACAACTCTGTAAAAATCACTCTTTTCTCAGATTATACTGGATGTCTAAAAACAAGAAAAAGGTTTCCTGGACTACAGAAAATTCAAACTATTTAGCTTCTGTTTCCTCAGTAATTCTGTGTGCTGGGGTGTCCTGCATTTTCATTTTCTCCCAAGTCTTAAATATCCCAATTCCTTGTTGATGGAGTAATCGAGCAACCAAAAAAAGGGACTCTCCTATTGATGTCTATTGAGAGAGTTGCAGCTAGAAAGTAGTAATTGTTACCCTTCTATTACGGGTTTGAGATTTTTTGGCAGGTGGGTGTGAGGAGGACACTCATGGCAGCACCCCCTGCTGCATCCTCCTCCCACCCCACCACAGACAGACCTGGTTTTCAACTGCCTCCTTTTGCAACTGAGGTGAGCAGGAAATAAAGCTTTTAGCAAGATCAGGAGCAGAGCTTTGATTGTGATGCAGTTCCCCACACAGACAGGCTAACATGAGAACAGTGGGACCTTTACCACTACGTGTTGAAAACCAGTGCATGTTACAATAAATAAATGGCACAGACTGTTGGGTCCTAACAATGACTTTCCACTCACTGTACCTAAAGATTCGAAACACACCATAAACTCCAGGTGTTGCTCACAGGATTGTGCCCAGCATTCCTTAGAGATGTTAGAAATTCATATCCATTTCTTTCATGATGATATTTTTCTTCCTTTAACAGCTTTCAATTTGAGATATAATTCTGGCCAGTTTCTGGTGGACTGTCCTTGCTGAGCAAGGCATTCACACCCAAATTTTAAAACATTCTAAGGATTTAGCAGCATGCAGTCCATTGATTTTAGCAGATGATGTGGTGTTTGCTATCAATACTCTGCCAAACCTTATAGATCAATGGAACATTGACATATAACGTGAATGCATACACAGCTTTAGCAACAGTGCTGTTGTTGCTGTGTCAGTCTAAGACACAAGCAAGGCAAGGTTCAAAAGTGAATATAGGACTGTTATTAGCCCAGATAATACCTTAAAGGGGGAAAAAAAGATACATTTTCAGGTACATAAGGTATTCTTTAGCTCTCTTCTTCAAGGACACTGGTTCCAAGAAGTACAAGAAGCTGTGTGCAAACCTTATTTGTAAACGTAACAGTCAGCTGAGTTAGATACATGGCCTCTCTCAACAAACCCTGCCTTGAACCTGCTGTCAGCTTAAAAAATGGGATCTCTCTCTCTTCTGCAGTGCCATAATATTGAACACAGGGACACATTATTAGTTTGTGTGCTGCCTAATAAATTATGCTAAACTAACTGGATTAATGTCTTCTGGTAATATTCATTGGCCATGATACCTTGTTATTCTGAAGCCTGTGTACTGAAAACAGCAACCAAAGAGTCACAGCATTGTAGAGCTACTATTCAACTGCTGTAAATATCTAATCAGTGCACAGGGCAGAAAACAACTGGGCAAGTAAAGACAATCCAATCTGGCTTTATTTGGCTCTGCAATAACAGTAGTTATGATCAATGGTGGTTATGAAGTATAAACAGAATGTAGATTTCTTATGAATGAATAAGTCTGTAACCATTAAATTAACTAATACACAATTTTGTTAGTCTTTGCTAGTCAGCACCAAAAAGTAAATCTCACAGTTCCAAAAATCTAAACCCTGTGCATTTCCAGCTCCATCAACATGCTTTGAAATATTTTTAATTGAAAGTAACTGATAGAATGTAATGCAGCATTCATCTTGCTGTGGGTGACACGAGGCATACAGTGGAATGTTTTAACAAATGTTTTATTTAAAGACAGACTTGAAAAGTCAGTGGGAGTAATTGCCAGTTTGTCAGCTGAATCACTTTATCCTTTGGAAGAGCTTTTTGTCATTATATTAGATGATTCCCTATGTCAGTGCAGGCCAATTTTTAGGATAAATGCACCTCAGTGTCATGCATTCCATTACTGAATACTAAAATAGTATTTGGGGGCTTGTTTTTACAAAATTGTTATCATTCCTATATTGATGGACATGCTACTAAATGACATATGCATTGAAAACCTGTGTTTTTATGGGAAAAAAATGAAGATCTCTTTTTCTAATTCTCCCTTCTTTTCCATACATTAAAAAAAAAAAACAAAAACAAGAAAGCTTACTCATTATCTCCATAGCATGAGAAAAAGTTTATGTATCATGTAGCAAAGTCTTAATCCTGCCTGAGATTTTTTACTCATCGTAATGGGACTGTCTGAAAGGCAAAGCTGGCAGAACTGGACCCTTTGTGCTCGGACTGCAGTATTTACACAGCAGATACTATGCTCATACATTGCCAAAAAGCAGGCTATATGGACAGCATTGCTAATCTTTGTAAATCAACCCAGGGCTCTCTGGTGTTTTTAAAATGCTTATGTTCCTTGGAAAGTGAAAAACATTCTGCTTACACGTAAGAGACTGGCATATATTAATCCTCCAAGTGTGGCACAACAGCATCCATTTTTGAACATGAGAATAAAATAATCTCTAGGGTGTCGTTTGAGTTCTTTGGTTTAACCGAGCAGAAATGTAAAAGATTTACTGGATCAATTAAAATTCTATGAACTGTATTCCTTGTCAAACTATTTTAATCTGTTTGTATCTGGATTATTCACTTATCTGTCTACAGGAAGAGAATGTGTGTGAGACTGGCTTGCACAGATATCTGTAGGAGATACTGCATCTTGTATTTTCTGTAGGAGGGAAGCAGTTGGGAGATGAGCAAGAAATATATGAATCATCTTACGACTACAATCTATATCCAACTTCCTCCTCTCAGGAAATAAAGTTACCTGACAATTTAGGCCAGTAGCGTGGGTTTCTGACAACTTTGCATAAAGTTTGTTTGAAGAACCCTCGTATTTTTAAATCTCTGTAAGAACATTTTTGCTAAATATATTCAAAGCATTTGATCCGAACAAAATTAAACTGGAGAATTAAAAAAATGACCAAAAAAATTTGTCTTTGCAATGAGAGCAAGAGCTTGCAAATCAGAGCTGTAGTTTGAAACAAAACTTCAGCCAAGCTGCCATCTGAGTCTGATTTAGTTTCCTCACCGTTTCTACAATCAGCACAGGTGATTCACACACCCCTCCCCTCACCTTCCTGCTTTGACATTCACGTGGTTTTGATTTGAGAGTCCCTACATGAAAACTTCCTTTCCTCTACTCTTTGGGTGGTACCCACTGAACTGAGGAATGAGCAGCTTTTCCCACCTTCACATTTTCAAAAGATGAGGGAAATGGTGAAGCTTTGCTTGGACTGTCACACCTGTCCTTTGAT